TTCAGCCCTTTAGCCTTTTGGCTTGAAGGCTCCCAGGATTCGGAGCTAACCTGCCCTCGTGCGCCTTGGTTTTCTCATCTGTAAAATGAAGGCTCCCACCTCGTTGACCGCGGAGACCCTTACAGGTCTGCACGTTCCTATGACCCTGTTCGCTGAAACTGGGGCTCTAGTGATCTTGGGCAAACTACTTCCGGTCCCTGCACCTCAGTTCCCCACCGGTAAATGGGGCATGGCCTCCCAAGAGCCCCTACTTGGCCCAGTTGCTGTAAAAAAAAGGTGTGTGTTCACTGAATGGGGTTAAGCGTGGAGTGGGTTATTGGGACTAGAGAGAGCAGACTTGGAGTGCAGCCTAGGGGCACGGGGTGGGTGTGTGGTCCCAGGTGGGTTTTGGTGCTGCGGAACTTTGGCAGCTGGCATATGCACCCCTCTCCCCCAAAGCTCCCGTCCTGGGGAGCTTTCCCCCATACCCAGGCTTGGTGGGGAGAGGGCTGCGGGGTTGGAGAGATATATGGTGGTACTCAGGGAAGGATTTAGCTGTGTGCTGTGCATCGAGGTCCAGAGGCACCTAGCATGCCTGGCATAGAGAGCAGAACGTCCAGGCTAGGAGAGACCTCCCAGCAAGCTCATTACAGAGTAGAAAATGCCCAGCAGAGTCAGAAGACAGGTGCAGACAGGTACTGGGATGGAATCAGGGGCTGAGACTCTTGGAGGCTCAGGGAGGAGGAGGTGATTGGAATGGGCCTTGGCAGTTAAGTAGTAATTCACAAGGATAAGGACCTCAGAGGAGGGCATAGCTTGTGCAAAGGCAGCAGCTTGCATGATGTTGCAAGTTGAGGGATGGCAAGGAGATGGGTGTGGCTGGAATGGGTAACAGGGGTAGGGTGTAGAGAGTACTGATTCCCCAGTCCCATGGCTGGTTGACGATTGTCCAGACCTTGGCCTGGGAATCCTGTCTCCCCATTTGCTGCTTGCTCCCTGGAGTAGGGCAAGAGGAGGGTTGTCCCAGGCAGAGTCCTGACAGCTGTGATGTGGAAGTGGGCAGACACCAGAGGCTCTGATTGTCCCCGGGCTTTGTTGGGGCATTCAGGCCGCCCTGGTCAGCCCCAGCCTCACCCCCCATCTCTTGGACTCCAGCCATACTTTCCCAAACATCAAGCCTCAGCCCTTTGTGCAGGTTGCTTGTCTTCCCCCTATCTTCCAGAAGTTTTCTCCCCATCCAAACCTCCTAGGTCCTTTGGAACTTCAGAGGTGGGCTGCTTATTGCCTCCTGTCTAGCCTTTCAGTCTTGTATAGTGGCACAGCTTGGGAAGGGCCTCCTTGGAGCTCTGTGGGGAAGGGGCTTGCAGAGTCATGGGGATGACTGGGACTTGGGACAGTCCCTGTGCAACCACCAAACACTGTGTGACTCTGCAAGTTCCCAGACTTCTCCATTTCCCTGTCTGTAGGGTTGGTTGAGAAGCCCTGGTTTCACACTCCAAAGAGAGACTCTGCTGGGGCAAGAATTGGACCTATCTGAGTCTAAACCCTTCCCCCAGCAGTGAGTGTTTGAATGAAGACAAGGAGAACGTAGAGGGAAGGGGTCACTTCAGAGGGGTAAGAAGCCTCTGAGAGCCCTAAGGCCTAGTGGTGGACTAGCCTAGTACTAGGCCCTAGGGCATCAGCTGGAGAGAGGGGAGTCCCCTCCGCTTCTCCGGGGGCCCTCTCCCCTCCCCACCCTCTCTTTGGCCAAGCTCAAAGCCAGCCGGCTGATGCCCAAACAAGTGGCCTCTGTTCCCAGGGTGGGGGGAGGGGAGACAGGCCCTGGGCTGCAGGCCCGTCTGCCCAGTGCTGACCCTGGCCCCCCCCCCACCGCCCTTCACTCTAGATCTTAACCCTTGGGGGCCTGGGATGGGCCCTGGGCTGCTTAAAGGCTGATACCCCTTGCCCACCAGCTGTTCCTTCCACTCTGCTTTAGGCTCCCAAAGGTTCTGTTGCAGCAGGAAGGGGTACAGTAGGACATGAATTGGAAATGGAGAAGGAAGGAGGGAACGGAGGTGGGAGGGAGGCTGGAGCAGATACAGCCACGGCCAGTCAGAGACCGCTCAGCCCTGAGGCTTTTTTCACAGAAAGAGAGACTGAAACCAGGGGCCAGAGATCAGATCAGAGTCACACAGCAAGCCCTAGTGGAGGTCAGGACTGACCCTGCCTCCTATCTGGGCTCTTTTGTGAGGAGGGAGGGAGCTCTTCTAGATTTGAGTACCTACTGTGTACCTGGCACTGCACATTTGTTACTTTATTTAACTTTACATCATTCCACGAGACAAAAGTCACCCTCCAGTAACAATAGGGGAAGAAACAGCCTCAGAGAGAGCTGAGTAGTAACATCAGAGAGAATGATGCCAGCAAGTGTGCATACAGCACCTCTGTTTCATCCTCCCTAGAAGCCTAGAAGTTAGGTACCATTCTACAGATAAGGAAACTGAGGCACAGA